AAAATCAACCTTCACTTTCCAAAAATAGGTGATTTCTCCCATTTAGATGCAGTTGACCTTACAAGACCCCACAAATCACCAAAGTGGGGCACTAACATCTGTTCCTCACAACTCATTCCCACGAATATGGTGAGATGTATTACAATAAAAGTAACTCTTTTTCATCCACTAAAGAAGCAGTTTTGCATTAAGCATTTATAAGAGAAACATAATAAATAAAAATAATACATTTTTAGTTATGCCCTGCCCCCTCTCCCCAAAGGGACTCGGGACGGCTTACAACAGGTAAAAAATACAAAAATATGGGCAATACATGATAAACAACAATAACAATAACAATTATCATTTAGTGCAAATTAAAATATTATAAGTATTAAAAAGTAACCATTTAAAAACTATTTGTCCTGTAAAAAACAATTTAAATATATATCGCTATTTCACCAGCAGTTATAATTAATGATCTTGTGATCATTCCAAATCCTGTCTGATGGTTTCCAATACTGTCTAGCCATTCTCAAAGGCTTGCTTAAATAGCCAAGTTTTTAGCTCCTTCCTGAAAATTAACAATGTGGGTGCTTGTCTTATTTCCTTGGGAAGTTAACAAGGTGGGCGCTTGTCTTATTTCCTTGGGGAGAACATTCCAGAGCCAAGGAGCCACTATCGAGAAGGCAGGCCACAGCCCATCCTAACACGGGAGCAAACAGTTTCCTTTTCATAATCATGCAGTTATCAATTACAAGTTTCTTCTAAATTTGAAAAAGTAAGATATGTTTTTCTGTACTTTAGCTTTGTTTGTAAGTTAATCTTCCCTGGCTGAAAATCTATAGATAAATAGCCTGCCTCAACTTAACTCTTTAGGAAGCTTCTTTATTGTTTCCAGCAATATTACAGAAGCTTGTTTCTGGAGCTAACCACAAAACATGTTAATTTCTGAAAGTATATTCATTGTTCAATCTCCATGGCATCAACAAAAACATCTTCAAGTAGTTGCTCATTAGTGATGCTGAACACATTAATTCGTAAGAACAAATATTTGTATGCAGCTTAAATAATCATTTTGTCTATTCAATTAAATGTCAGAAATTACCAATCTGTATATTAATCTTTTCATTTCTAGAGTCATCTAAATTGTTCACAGCTCAGCACACTGACATCATTCCCAGGACTAACAAAGATAGTATTTGACCCAACTTCTAAAAAGTGGAGCCTCGGGGTAAACTAATACCACCACACCTGGGATTTTTTTCTGATCAAAGCAGCTTGGGTAAGGAATTATTTTAAATAGAGAAATTGTGTAGGAGAAGGTATTTAACCCTTTCCCCATGGTCAATTTTGGCTGTTGTACACTGAGAAGTTTCCCCAAGATGTTCTGACCACATTTCCTCTATTTTGAAGCCAGCAAGTAAGAGATAGAACATGGGGGGGGGGGGGTGGCTTTCTAGGGTGTATTTCAAAGCAGGGGAAGGGGACACAATGGTTATTTAAAAGGCATGGTTACGTCTACATTATACTCACTTGCATATCACATATAGTTTAGTTATCAGGATCAGTTTATACATGGAAAGATCTGATGCATCTCTCAGAAATGTAGTTTGCTCCTCACACAGTTTATATACTGAAAGAGTGGATGTATCTCTATGGAAAAATATTTGCTCAGCTCTCAAGACTACCTAGGATCTGCATGATCACAATTACTCAAACGACTTTAATTCACTAGTTGACAACAAAAGAATATCCAGACATGCAGTGGGTTTTTTGTTATAGTTGAAGGTACTCTTCAGGACTGGATTATCACTTCTGCTATTCAAGTAAATGTGGCAGGGCTCTCAGTAACAATGCCACCCATCCTGCTGCTGGCACTACACACATGCATACACAAGCTTCTTGTACTCTAGTGTACAGAAATGTTCCTAGGAATAGAGTATAGGCATCTCTTCCAACCCTTTCCAAAGAGTCCCCATCCTGGACTCATTTCCATCTGCAGAGTAAATAAAGAGTATGTTGGGGTCACTGTCTTGGCCATTCTGCCCTCCTCTTGACCTGGCAGCAATACCAACATGCTGCAGCATGAAGCTGCCACACCAACAGCAGAATTTGAGCATTAGTTCAAAGGGGGATCTAGCTTTGAAAGTGATCCAGACCCCGAGCCGCCTCAATCCAGCCCTTTTCTCTTAGTAAGAATTCTAGACAGGATCATCCCTATTTGACAAGCAGAGTTCTGTTTTAATTTCAGTATTCTAAGAATTATTTCTGAAATTGCAGTTAGGTATAATGTTGCTTCATAACACTAACCTATCTACTCCTAGGAAAATTAGTCTGACAATTATAATTTCTGTCATCAAAAGAAACTATATAAAGATTTAGTCAAAGGATGCTATGGTTTTTAACTTTGAATTTGTTTTGATGGATTTTAACTGATTTTGTAATGTTATTTGTGTTTAATTCTTTTTAGTGTGTGCATATTTGTATATTTTAAACTGAATACCAATGCATTTATGTCAGGTATCTTTGAGTCCCTTTTGCAAGGTATAAATAATAACAACAACAACAACAACAACAATAATGGTCCAGAATATAAAGGCAAGATCTCTATTCTGATCCTCCAGGAAACCTTTTCTTCTGGCCCAGACCTTTTTTTTTTTAATAGTCCTTTAATTGGCCCTAGAATTGAGTGGCCCCGGTCCCCTAGTAGGGCCACCATTGCTGAGACCAATCCTTGTACTACAGTATTCAGCCAGTGCCGGGTTTTTTTACCTTCTCCTTGGCCCAGCCCGTTCCAAATAGTCCAGGCCCCTTATTGAAATCTTTGCCCCTGGCAGCTTAACTAGCATGAAGAAGAGAGTGGAACTGGTTTTAAATTGATTTTAATGTATATGTTGTGTTAACAGTTTATGTCTATGTTTCTGTTTTATATTTTATGTTTCTGTATTATTTTGCATATGTGGAAACTGCTCTGAGTCCCCAAGGGGAGATAGGGTTTATACAAATAAAGTATTATTATTATGTATTGTCGAAGGCTTTCATGGCTGGAATCACTAGGTTCTTGTGGGTTTTTTCGGGCTATAGAGCCATGTTCTAGAGCATTTCTCCTGACGTTTCGCCTGCATCTATGGCAAGCATCCTCAGAGGTTGAGAAGGTCTGTTGGAAGTAGGAAAAATGGGCTTATATATCTGTGGAACGGCTGGGGTGGGGCAAGGAGCTCTTCCCTGCTGCAGTTAGGTGTGAATGTTTAGCTGATCACCTTCATTAGCATTTGAAGGCCTGCCTGAGTCTGGGAAAATCTGTTGCTGGGAGGTGTTAATCTGTGCCTGGTTTTTTCCTCTCTGTTGTTTAGCTGTTAATAATTTTAGAGTTTTTTAATACTGGTAGCCAGATTTTGTTCATTTTCATGGTCTCTTCCTTTCTGTTGAAATTGTCCACATGCTTGTGGATTTCAATGGCTTCTCTGTGTAGTCTGACATGGTGGTTGTTGGTGTGGTCCTGCATTTCTGTGTTCTCAAATAATATGCTGTGTCCGAGGCTGGTTCATCAGGTGCTCTGCTATGGCTGACTTCTCTGGTTGAAGTAGTCTGCAGTGCCTTTCATGTTCCTTGATGCGTGTCTGGGCAATGCTGCGTTTGGTGGTCCCTATGTAGACTTGTCCACAGCTGCATGGTATACGGTAGACTCCTGCAGAGGTGAGAGGATCCCTCTTGTCCTTTGCTGAACGTAGCATTTGTTGGATTTTCTTGGTGGGTTATTATTATTATTATTATTATTATTATTATTATTATTATTATCCAGAGATATAATGAACCATACATAGAGGAATAGTGCACGAAATGTGAGCTGTCCAGCTATAACTAACCATGATATATATATTTTAACTTTTGTTCTATCTTTATAGGAACCAAGGCAGAATGTTTAATCAACTCTGTGGTTTTGACAGCCATAGTTATATGGTGTTTCCATTCATATTTACAAATTGTCTTCAGAAAGCAGAACTGCAGAAATACTGATTCTTGAGTCTATGATATCTGAGGTATTGCATATGACATTGTTCCATATCTTAACCTTAAAATCTATATGAAGCCATTAGAGGAAATCATCTGGGAATATGAAGTTAGGTGTCATCAATATGCTAGTGAAATCCAGCTTTATTTCCCTTTTGTCATCATATTCAGCTAAGGTTGTGGAAGGGCTGACCTGCTACCTGGACTCAATGTAGGTCACTTGGGACCAGAAATGCATTGCACCTCAGATTGGGGGCGGGGAGAGAGATTTTGAAATGTTTGCATATAATACATAACAGCATCCAAGTTTAAACACGACATTTGTTTACACTTCATACACATAGCCTGAATGTAATTTTATACACAATATCTCTCTGCATAAAACAAAGTTTATGTACAGTGAACCATCAGAATGCAGAGGCGTCACTATTCTAGCCACTGGCATGAATAATTTTGTATTATTTTGGATTTCCAGATAAGGAGTACCCAACCTGTAATAGGGTAACTGAGAATAAATAATTTGAAGATGAACCTAACAGAACAGAAGCTTAATGGGCTGGGGGTTATTTTTAAAAAAGAAAAGAAAGCCATTTTAATTCTTGAAATCTCAGTAGACAATTAAGAATAAATAATTAAATCATAAATCTGCTAAAATGTGCAAAGACAGGAATAAAGTGTAAACAACGTGAAGTACAATTTCATATATGGTTGGCTATCATTTAAAAAATCTATAGAGAATGACGGGTTGTCAAAAGATACCTGTGCAGTGTTTTTAGAGATGAACAGTACAAGATACAAGCAAACAGATTAATTTCATTCTCCCACTCTCTGTTTATGGGAAAGAAATTGGCACCTTCTATCCCTGCAGTATAACCAGGAGTGAAGTATTCATAACAGCCAGAGGCAGAATAAAACTTGATTATGCACAACAAGCATGTAACATTCTGAGCAGCATATAAAATGTCTCTGAAACCACCTCTTTCCAACATGCTGAACACAAAACTCACCCAAGGTGCAGAAGGTACCAGAAGCGACAATGTGAGCAAGTCACTGCAACATTCCTCCATGTACTGATGACACTGAGCTGCATGATTTATCAGTCGAGCATAAACAACAGTTGGAAGGATATGATGAGCTGTCTCAGAGGACATCTGTCCTGGGGCAAGCATGAAACTCAGATTTTGCCTTATGGCAAGCAGGTGTCTCCACAGCCTGCTAAGTTTTCCTTCAAGGGCACTCTGTGAAAACATAATACGCGCAAGCACAAGGATTAGAATGAGCTAGAAGAAATGGTAAACATTGAGAGAATGAAAACACGCTAATGATGCCAGGTGAAAGGCCACATGCCCTAGCTAAACACCTGCAGGCACCACACCGGACAAACCAAGAATTATAAAACAATCTCTTGGGAGCATTAGCAGAGATGTCACACTCCAAATATTCTGCCTCCTCTTCTGCCCCCTTTCTCAGCCATCTGTGGAGAACATGTGTTGAGGGAGCATGATCTGACAAAGCATAAAGCACAACAAAGTGCCAGACTTCTAGCTTCTTAAAACAAACAAGAAAACAGAGATCAAAGCCACTGTCCAAATAAAGCTGATTGCCTCCACACACAAAAGAAAAACTCAGAGCCAGAAGAGGAAAAGAGGAAAAACTTAAAAATGTCCAACTTCTAAACAAGCGTATTTAAAAAAGCATAAGCAAGGAATGTTTATCTTCTACCTACCACAGAATCCTGTGTCCTTTTCCTCTTGGAAAAGGCCAGCTGCTCTTGAAATTTATTGAACAGCGTGTTTTCATTTAGTAAAAATATGGAGAAATTAACCATTATTTTGAAGCAGTCATGGCAAAAAGATTAAAAAAATAAAGAAAAAGGAACAGGAGAACCTACAGCTGTGCATTCCAAAGAGCATGATAAAATTAGGTGAGTATGTATTCTGATAACCAAACATGTCCACTTAAAGTAATCACTCAAGACAAGATGTAGGTGTTCATGCAGATATCTTCACAAGACAGCTTATTTGCTTGAATACCACAATACATTTCCCCCCTCGTCATTTAGGTGCAATTTTGAATCCTTCAATTTCATTCAGTACTCATTTGATGTCTCCAACTGTTACATATAATTAGACATTTCACAGCTGGTACCTTTTTAAATGTCACATAGGGACGACTGGAAATGAAAATAAGGTTATTTCAAGAACTGCCTTTTTTGATAATATAGGTGTGCATTTTAATAGACAAAGGGCAACTGAAAATGAACAGAAATTGCAATTTTGCTTCAAAAAGGATGCTGTGTTTCACACAGATACGCAAATTTAGCACAACTAAAATGGAGATATACAAGTTTATCCCAACCCTGAAATTGAGCACTCACCATCTACTAAAAACAGGAATCAGAAACTTTAGTGGGTGCAGGTGCCATTTTTGCCCTTGCCCAGACTTTAGCAGATTGCACCAGCCCATGTAGCCCTTCTACTTACTCCATATTTGTCACCTCTAATTTTTTAAGAAGACTACTTGGGATATATACAGGCCCTGCGAGACTAAAATAACCTTTAAATAGATAATCATACTCCACAGGGACTTCAAGAAGGAAATGGTTATTTTAATGCCAATTTTGTTCCATGGGACTCCTGTGGGAGCTCTGGTGTATCATATGTATTCTGCTACTAGCTTCCTTTAATATATTAGTTTGTTTTCTGCTGCTCAATTATTTTTCTAAGCTTAAGGTAAAACAGAAAACATCTGAAGGACACAGGAAGGGGACAGTAAAAATATATTCAGTCCATCTTGGATAATTTGTCCCTGCAATCCATGTGTTCCAACTAAACATGAGTATTAGTTTAGGGATACAAATTCAGACTTCAGTCCAATGGAGTTACACATATTTCAACTTCAATGAAATCAAAATGATACTTAAATGTAACTTTCAAGCATTTATGATTACCTATTTTATCTTCATTTTCATAAAAATAAAATGTAACTAAAATATAAATTAGCTCTTGTCTGCCCTCCAACCTGCTTTGATACCAATTGCCACTAAGATCCCAAAAATTGTTGATGGTCAACAAAAGGAAGAAGTGGAAATAACTTAATTTTACATTAAGATTTCAATCTCTGGCCATGAGTATCTAATATTAGAGTAATACTATCACTTTTTTGTACTCATGTACAAAATGGGTTGCTGAAAATTCCTGTTTGTTCCTGAAAAGCAGATATCTGCTGTCTAAAGGGTTCCTTCAAACAGCCCAGTTCATCTTGTGAATATCCACAACAGCTGTTCAACACACACAACCATTTCAATATTTCCTCATACAGGATCAATTCCAGACCATTTTTATTTTGGTCCTGCTTTTCCCAGAACCAGAATTATACTAGACGTCCCAAGAGAAGCTGCACCATAAACATAAGGTATGTGCAATGTCATTATGATATGGAGAGTTTTAGTTTCAAAACCAGCAATGCACTGCAGGATAATTGTAGTGATAGGTAAACTGACTCTGAAGTAAGCTACCATTGATTTATATACCATTCTTTCTTTAAGGTATATAAATCAGGGTAAACTAAAAAAAAAAGACATATCTCCTTGGGAATATTTCAATAAACAATAAATACATAACTGTAACCTCACCGTCATCAGAATACAATTTGAAAAAGGTAATCAGAAGTCTGAAATTGTTTATTATCTGAATTATTTGAATATTCAAATAGTTAAAAATTAATTCTGTTGGATTAATTGTTAACCTCTTCTTTAAGCCATTAGATTAAATGGTTTTGTACTCCTCTGCAGATTTCTTCTGATCTCTATAAACATTTAAAAGTGCTTGACAATTAACAGTGCCCCATTTTAAGAGCACTTTGTTTTAAACATATAATCACCCCCAGCAGAAAACTCAGGGGTAGGGCAAAGAAGACATGAGTCCTTGGACCTCTTCAAACATGCCGACAGAACTGCTGTGGATAGTAGTGATTCTGACAGTACACGTCTAGGGACATTGGAACCCATCACGCTGCACCATTCTGGCTTGCCCCCATCTTACCACATGGGTGAAGCATCTGCGAGTTGGGTCGCCCCACTGAGAACAATACAACCACTGGAAGCCTCCTGTGTTGCTGCAGTAGCAGTTTTGCCATGGAGCTGCCCTGGAAGTACTTCTCCAGTGTGTGATGGAAACAGGTGGGCTCAGTGGCAAAGCTGCTGCAGAACCTGAGTTGCCGCCAAATTTTGCCCCTTGTGAAGAGGTCCTTAATTTTAAAAATCTTATGCCAAATAAAACTTGTTTTTTTAAAAAAAGTACAATACCTTTTATTAACTGACTTCATTACTATCCAAAAGGATTGCTTTGCAAATGACATCATCTGCTAAATGAATATGGTTTCCATGCAGAAAGAAATACATCACAATGGGGGGGGGGCGGGGGGGGGAGCCACAAATGTATTTAGTTGTATTCACAGATGATGGAAAACTGTAACAAATCCTTCAGTGGATTACAGATTTCAAATGTTCACCTCCTGTGTCTTAGTTCAAAGTGCAGAAGTCAAAATGAACGGCTGTTAAGAGTCTGCATCTCCTATTCCATTCCTCTTGCTGGGGCCAGTGAGCTACACTATGAAAGCTCACAAAGAATAAATGTTCTTGCTGGCTGATCTACGCTCCTGTAATGCATGTGCACAGACATGTGCATGTGTGCACATTTCCCCTTTAGAAAGACATCAAAACCAGTCTAAAAACAGATGATGGAATGCTACTGCTGATGTTAAGTTGCCTGGATGTGAGGTCACCCGGAATGATATGTAAGCTATCTCCCAACTTTGAAATGAAAAACAATGCTGCGTATAAACCGTGTAAAGACTTATTGATTCAAAACACAGTAAATCAACACAAAGACAGTTTAATGCCCTACACACAAATATACTTTCTAAGAATGAGTGATAATATTTTTCTCAAAATCTAGCAATATTCAAAATTATGAACTGAAATTTTATTTCATTTCACTGGTATTGGGTTTTTTCCCCATTCTATTTAAAAAAGCTCTTGCAAAGTCACTTCATAGTACATTCCTGTGCTCAGGGTTTCACCTTTAGTATGAGCAGCAGCTTGAGCCATCAAATTTAACCTTCAATAGATTAAGACAATGAAGCATAGTAAACAGGAGCATACTTCTTCTTCCAGAACAAGGAGGAAAGGTTACCCAATCAAATTGGCTTTGATTAGCATCACCTCTCTGCCCATTTCTCTCTCTTTGCAGCTGAAGCCTTCTCTTCTGAAGCAGGAGTTTTTCAGTGCATTATTTCAAAGAAAGATCTAAAAGGTTCCACATTAAGGGCTTTTCTTTCATGCCAAATGTTTCCAATATATACAAACAACTTCTACTATGGATTTCATTAAGTAAGCTAAACAAAGTTATTTTTTCAACAGAAGTGCCATCATAAATTTACATGTAACTTCCAAGTATGTTCTGTTAAGAAAGTGGAATCTTATATTAACTGAAATTATGCAGGCAAATTGTACTGTTTCTTTATATGACTCATTTAATTCAACAATTCAACCAGTACCATAGATAAGTAAGAAAACAAACTTGTTTACACACATAAATATGTTTTGGAGCGACTTCCACAGAAACATAACCAAAGGAAGTATCATCCTTTAAAATGAGAGAGAAAAGTACACATAATCAAGCACTAATATGTAGCAAGGGCCTCAGGAATAATCTGTCTACAAGTTTAGGGAGAAGTTGCATACTAGCAGTAGATGTTCCATACCAGTTCTCCTTTCATTGAAAACCATCAATCACCAATATGGAGCACCAGACTTAGTAAAACCACTCATGAATATAAATGCAAATATAAACATTTATTTGTATATGAATGTATTCATAAAGACAATAATCTAAACCAAAGATGGCTAACTGCGGATCCAGTTCTCTGGGATGCTTTGGGGACTCATGCCCTCAGTACATCTCACACTCTTAATTTTTATGCTTTTTCCCATTTTTAAACTAAACTATCCCCTACAAAGAGATTTGGGGAAACCATCCCTATATTTCTCAAACCACCCTTAATGTTATAGTCTCTGAAAAGATCTTTATTTTAACCAGAAGCGATATTTTTTTCCCAACCATAATCAAAACCATGGCTCACCTCCTCTGTAGAAATCAAGACAAAGTTTCCACTTATAGAAAGACTTTTCATAATTATATATAAATGTGAGAAACTGGAATTTGTTCTAACAAAAATCAGAATAAATCATGATGTTAGATTCCCACTTGTTATATAACCATTATCAGAATAAACTGCAAAAATTTCCACAGTTGTATGCAATCTTAAGAATTCTGTAAGCTCCTTCCTATTGATGTAGATAGCCATTTGAACCAAAGATGTAAAAATAAATGTATATTGCAAACTTTAGTATACCATAGAGACATTAATCCATATGTACCTTTTAGAAGTTTCAAAAAAATATCTAAATCAACATTCAGAACAAAACTGTAGCAATGTTCTTGGAAACACCACAATGAAGAAGAGAATTCCAATACCAATAATAAAAAATGAAGGGTTAAACTTTTAAAATATTTTCCTGGCAATTGTTTGCATCAAATTATGGCTTATAAATAACTTGAAGCAGTTAACATCATTCTGCTTCAAGAGAATTTGAACCAGTTCTTAAAGAAAAACAGAACAATGGGTTGGAAAAAGATTACCATCAGTAAAGAATGACAAGCTTGAATTCCACAAAAAGATATGAAATACTGCAGAAAAGAAATACTTCACAGCACGTATCAGCTTTCTGAACAGAACGTAAAACTTACGGTAGGCCTGTTAACACCATATGGAATGAGAAGGTGTTAAGGAAGTGTTCTACTGTTGCAAACTTGTGAAGTAGTGAAGATAGAAATCTTAAAACTCTAATAAGGCAGGAATAAATTAAGGGGGAAAGAAGAACCAACAGTTAAAACAGAAGAATGTCACTCAAAGTGGTGGTTCAATGAACCACCGTCAGTACACAGAGTCTCTAGATACAACAGAAATAGCAGAAGCCAATGGCCACAAATACTGTACAATATTAATCTCAAAGCACTGGTCTATAGGACCTATTCTTACCTATGGAAAAAACATGAGGGAGGCAACCTACACCAATGTGAACTGCTCCTCTGCGTTATCCAAAAAATTAGGAGGCCAAATATTACATAAGAAACAGGAATACTTGTTCTTTCATAGAATGCAAGACTTATCTGGTGAAGTAATTAAGTATATGCACAGAGCCCTAAAAGCAACCCTGTTGAAAGGGTTATGGAAGGGGATTAAAACATGACCAATACAGGCTCCATCTTGAAAATAACAAATAGCTGAGACTGTAAATTAGAAAAAAAAGTGAAGCGAAGAAACAACCGATTCCAAGCCAAAAAAAAAAAACGCTACTATTTAGAGAGGAGAATAAGGGAAATATACCATTAGGATAGCTGTAAGGCATATGTTTAAGATAAAGGTATGTAGGTATTGTAAACCTGCATATACTGCATTAGTGCAGAAGAAAAATGAATGCAAATGTAAATTGCTATATGGAAAAAAATATTTAGTTTGGCCAAGATTATGTAGAACACTCCAGTAACATCTATGAAAATACATGCCTGAAGCTTTAGAATCTAAGAACTTTCAAATCTAGAATCCAGATTGTTCTGTTCTATACCTTTCCCAAATGCACTTCTTTATGTGAAATCACATGTACAATGAACTACAATGGACTTAACAAACCTTTTTGCGAATAAATGCAAAACAGACTCAGAATGTACCTAAAAATCTAATAGTTATTAACCAATTTTCAGGGAAACAAACTACATTTAAATTTAATGAACATCAAATGTGTGTATCATTGCAAATGCATTCACTGTTAGATTGAATGCAATAAAACTATAAAGAAAGAGAATTACAGACATTCTTAAGAAAACACTGCATATGACTCTCTCTACATTGCTGGAAGGTGACCTTTTCCCAAAATACTAAATTAAAATTATGAAGTGCTCCAAGAATGAAAATGCATATTTGTCATTGCCTTTAGCATAACAATTGTTACAGCACATAGAGTTGTATATTGGAGATTTAATTGCAAAACTTACTGCATGTATGTTAATATGCAATGCAAACTCTTCTCAGCAGGTATTCCATGTGATGAAGTGAGTTTCATGAATAATTTATTAAGAAAGCCACTTCTGCCAAGATACAATTTGCAACATTTTTCAAGTGAGATCAGTAAAAATCAGGAGCTGTCACTGCCAATTTGTTCCAGTCTGGATTCTAAAGGTCACACCCTTAAAATGCTACAGAGGTTAAAAATGCCCTTTTCTTCTTTTACATGTCAATCGACATATCGTAGGCTTTACTTCAACATGACCCATTTAGAACACAAGATAGTGATATTTTCTAGACAAATCATAAAACGAAAACTGTGGAAAGAATGGCAGCATCTTGAATTGGAGTCCACATATTTTGTTTATCTGGATCGCAAGTGTATATTCCTCTGGCCCAGTCCATGTCCCCTCTCCCCCACACCAAATCAAGTGATTATACAGATCACCAAACTATTCTTTGGTCGTTCACTTCAGATGTAAACTAGGATGTGCGTAAGTTGTCCTTCCCTCCTCCACTCTGATGTGGACACAAAGAGGAGACTGGAAATATTTTTAGCACTGCCCAGGATATATAATTCTGGTTAGTTTCAGTATTTTAGTGTATATTAACAAACAGATATAATGATAAATGACTAATTAGTATTAAAAAGGAAATGAAACAATGGTTTAAAAAAATCTTCATTGCCACACAGGAGAAGGAACAGAATGCATAGCAGCCCAAGGCTCAAACAAGTTTGCATATAAAACTAAATTATAGCTTAATTCGGCTTCTAAACTAGGCCATATTATCCTAAATCATTTCCCATTTTCATATTATTAAACATTACTAAATATTAATTATTTTCTAAAAATATGCATTATCCAATGTTGTTTAAATACAATATACAAAAAAAACCATCATAAGTAAATACATCACAGTGTAGAGGAATCTTAACAGACAATCTACACTGTGTAAATACATCACAGTGTAGAGGAATCTTAACAGAGAGAATTCACAAATAAGAGTAGCTCTCCGATTCACCTCTGTCATTCTCAATGTGATCTGAGTGACAGAACATGAGACAGAGGTGAGCAAAGACATGAGGGTGAAGCTACTATATTGCTCTCTTCATCTATTGATTCAATAAGCTTCCGCGATGAATGAGCAGGGCCAATATAAAAGCAGTGATACAAGAGGACAAATATAACAACCAAGCTGTTTAACAAGATAAGACAGAATAGAAGTTATAGGATGAGGTGCAGGGATACAGAAATATATTTTTAAAACTAAAAATACACAAATATTTACAGAGGTAGGCAGTCATGAGCAAGACGCCTGCCCCACAAGCCTCATGTTAAATAGCCAACTAGCAAAAGATAGATATACTGATACGAAAAGGTTCCCTCTGGATTCTCTGTACTAAAAAATGTATTTCTCTGCCTATTGCTTTTGATATAATATAGCTCATGTGGCATTGGTATCACCATCATAAAAGGACTTACACTCTCAAAAGGCATTTTTTGGAGGTAAGACAGCAAGGTATTATATTGTCTCATTACTTAAATAGCACTTGATTTCAATTTCAGTGGTAATATTTATGCTTTCCATAGAACACAATAAGCCAAACAGGATTTTGGAGATTTACTGATTAAAAAGAGAAATAGATTTTGATACTGCACTAGTTTGTTCCAACATATGAAAGTACTTTAAATAAAAACGTTACAATCAAGGCAAAATTGTGTTTGTTTACATTTCAGATTAAGTCCTTACCACATATCTAAGATTTAAATTTTCTACTTTGCCATAGCAAACATCCAAAAGGGTCATCGACTGCACAGTAAGGTTTCTTCCCAATGTCCAGGGCAATGCAAGTTTTGAAAGATCAGAAACCTAAAGAAAACAAAAAGCAGAACAGCACCATCCATTTAATTTATGCTCATTTAGTGAAATCCTGGGTCATCTCCATTTTCAAAACCATCTACTGATTTCTAGGTAGATTCATCTTCCAGTGAACAAAACTTTTAAAAGCACTTTTTATATACTATTTTCAACAATTTAATTAGATTTAATTGACATTAAATACTCAACTTACCATAAGGAATTGTGCTGACAGAAATTTGTAACTCACAATAACACAATCTTGTTCACTTAGTTCAATTATCAAGACAAAGCTATGTTTTGTAGAAATTGATAAATAGCAGAAAGACCAGAAAAAATATTCTCCTTCTTCAAATAATAACATTAGACTTTTTAATGCTTCACTTTAGCACTATAAATAGCAACAAATTGGAAGAGCTAATTATAGATAGTGCAAAGTTAAAAGTTCAAGGGGAAGACTATCTCTTATAAAATCCATCAAGTACAGTTAAAGTTCACAATAGCTGAAATAATAGAAAAGCACATATGGGGATTATAGTTGTTGTTTCAGACAACAATACCACTAATCCTGGTCAGTCTCTATGATTTTACCTTATCAGTTGCTCAAAAGATAATTCTAAGGCTATCAATGGCCACCAATGAGACAGCTTCACACCACATTAGAATGATCTCCTGAGTATATCCTGACCATAGAAACAAGAATGTATGTATGTGTATTTTATAAGACTCTCAAGAAAATAATATAAATCAGGATAATATGTTTTCTAATGGAGTAAATTGTCTAGACTTTATAGCATATATAGCATTTAACAGTAATGTTATCAGCACATTATAAGTAAATGTAGGTTATCTTATCAACATAAAGTAATGAATAGTAGACTAGAGACAATAAAGTCCATCCTTTCCTGGAGTAGATTTCAGTGCAGGAATTCAACAGTCTCTGTCTTTATCCTCAAAAGAATTCTTCTTTTAGCAACACAGTCTTTAAGGAGTACTTCTTATGCAGCAGAGTCTTCCTTAGGTAACACAATTTCTACAAGGTCTCCCGGTATGTTCTCCTTGTTTCGAAAAATTATCTTCTTCAGGATGTTATCACATATATATAATGCACTAAATAAAGGAGTAAAAATAACATACACAATAGATACATGAAACTCCCCAATTCACATTTCTAGTGAAACATTCTATAATAACAGTAAAGAAACACGCTACTCTACTTACACTCTCTTTACACTCTCTTCAATAGTACAGGCTCTGTTCTGGAGGAGTTCTATAACGAGCAATGAGTCATCCCTAGGCTACCTCTTAAGTAGAATTACATTTCACAAGAAACAAGTGTATTCAATTTTATCATTTAGTCCTTGTGGAACCAATGTTTGTAGTTTAAAGATCCAAAAAGATTCTCTTTGTAGAAGGAGTTTTTTTACATCTGCATTAGGTCTGGGTAATATTTTTTCTAAAGCGCAAAATTTAAAGCTATGGTGTGTATGAGCTTTTTCATTGAAATGTACATATAGTGAAGAGTCAGTGGACCCATTCCTTATGCGTGAACGATGTTCATTTATCCTGGTTTTAAGGGGTCTAGTAGTCATTCCAACATATAAAAGCTTGCAGGAGCATTCTAATAGGTAAATTACATTATCAGTGGAACATGTTGTTAAATGTTGCAAGGTAATCTTGATGTTAAGTGTTGGATGAGAGTATATTTTAATCTTGAGTGATTGTTGACAACAGTTACAGTGTCCACAGCTAGTGTGACCCCTAGTGGTAAGATTGTGGGATGTAGTAGGAGAGTTATATTGAGAATGGATCAAAAGGTCCCTTAAATTTCTGGATCTTTTGTGTGCAATTATAGGTTTGTCTTTGCATCCAGGAATGTCCTGTAGTAAATGCCAATGTTTTGAAATAATTTTAGTGATTTTAGATGAATATTGTGTGAGTGTCAAAGGCCATATTATGCGGTTATTATGTTTTCTAGGGCGTTCCCGTAGTAACTCCCCTCTGTTGATGGAGTTCGCCTTACTCATGGCTGTGTTGAGTATCTTATTAGGATATCCTCTCTTTCTGAGTTGTTTCTTCAGGATACCTGCTGTAGATTCAAAATCCTTTTGTGTGCTAGAATTACGTTTCAGTCTTAAAAACTGAGAAAATGGTAAATTAGATTTAAGAGAAAAGTGATGAAAGCTGGAAAAATGTAAAATAGAATTCTTATCTGTAGGTTTGCTATAATTTTTAACTAATAGTTTCTGGCCATTTTTGAAAACCATGATGTCCAAAAAGTTAATATTAGTAGGGCTACAGTGATGTGTAAATTTCATGTGTTTATGTAGTGTATTGATCCAGCTGCAAATTAGGTCCGCTACTGGTTGTGATCTCACTACTATAAAAATATCATCTAGATATCTTCCAAAATAAAGGATATCTGAAGAAAATGGATTCTTAGTAGTATTGAAAATGAATTTACTTTCTAAGTCTGCGACGAATAAGAAATTTAAGGGACCTTTTGATCCATTCTGAATATAACTCTCCTACTACATCCCACAATCTTACCACTAGGGGTCACACTAGCTGTGGACACTGTAACTGTTGTCAACAATCACTCAAGATTAAAATATACTCTCATCCAACACTTAACATCAAGATTACCTTGCAACATTTAACAACATGTTCCACTGATAATGTAATTTACCTATTAGAATGCTCCTGCAAGCTTTTATATGTTGGAATGACTACTAGACCCCTTAAAACCAGGATAAATGAACATCGTTCACGCATAAGGAATGGGTCCACTGACTCTTCACTATATGTACATTTCAATGAAAAAGCTCATACACACCATAGCTTTAAATTTTGCGCTTTAGAAAAAATATTACCCAGACCTAATGCAGATGTAAAAAAACTCCTTCTACAAAGAGAATCTTTTTGGATCTTTAAACTACAAACATTGGTTCCACAAGGACTAAATGATAAAATTGAATACACTTGTTTCTTGTGAAATGTAATTCTACTTAAGAGGTAGCCTAGGGATGACTCATTGCTCGTTATAGAACTCCTCCAGAACAGAGCCTGTACTATTGAAGAGAGTGTAAAGAGAGTGTAAGTAGAGTAGCATGTTTCTTTACTGTTATTATAGAATGTTTCACTAGAAATGTGAATTGGGGAGTTTCATGTATCTATTGTGTATGTTATTTTTACTCCTTTATTTAGTGCATTATATATATGTGATAACATCCTGAAGAAGATAATTTTTCGAAACAAGGAGAACATACCGGGAGACCTTGTAGAAATTGTGTTACCTAAGGAAGACTCTGCTGCATAAGAAGTACTCCTTAAAAGACTGTGTTGCTAAAAGAAGAATTCTTTTGAGGATAAGGACAGAGACTGTTGAATTCCTGCACTGAAATCTACTCCAGGAAAGGATGGACTTTATTGTCTCTAGTCTACTATTCATTACTTTATGTTGATAAGATAACCTACATTTACTTATAATGTGCTGATAACATTACTGTTAAATGCTATATATGCTATAAAGTCTAGACAATTTACTCCATTAGAAAACATATTATCCTGATTTATATTATTTTCTTGAGAGTCTTATAAAATACACATACATACATTCTTGTTTCTATGTTACTATAGATATTTGTGCATTGTTTGCTATATCCTGACCATAACATTGCCATTTCGGACCAATTGAGAATCAATATTTTGAAATGGTAAGGGCTCGGGTTTAACAAAGAGCACATTTCTATTAGCTAGTTTCACCTAATAATGTTAGTTGGACAAACATCACATTTATATAGCATTTAAGACACTCTAAAGCAGTTAATTTATATTATTTAATTACAGGATTTACAAATGATCCTTATAAGTCTTGTCAGAACTGTCTCCTTAATGCTAACGAGCAGTTGTAATAGAGGATGGTGGTACATAATATACTTTAAAACTATTTTCTGAGTTTATGACAGAAGCATGACTGAACTGATGATTTAGCAATCATGTATGTGTGCTTTCAAGCTGTCTGTTGATCTATGATGACTTATGGTTTTTAAGGCAAGAAATACTCAGTTCCTTCTTCTGAAATATAGATTTTGACATATACATATATGCAGAAGAAGTTGACAGAACAAGATCAAAACACACAGATACCTCGAAAAACATTTTTAAAATCGAACTAGAAAAATCCTTAATCAACCAAATTATTACACAGCGCCAACTAAGAAAGAATCTTCCACACAAGGCAAAAAGCTAAGGTCCAGAAATATCTAAATTATACATATCCAAAGCTTGCTTTGCTCAACATAAAGAAACACTATTAGTTATGACAATTTCAAAAACTGTAATGAAGCTATTAACATTCAGCCATAACCAGGACAGACTTTTGCAATAACACATTTAATGGATTAGTAAGTGAGACAAACTAGAGTTTTCTGAATCAGAGGTTCTCTCTTATTAAATCTGGTAAAGGAGTCACTGCACTTATTTAAAATGATTAACTTTGCGTATTCTTGTTGTCCTGTGATTGAATTCCTTCAATGTCCTTCAGCCCATGTGTTGAAACTTGTTTTCACTACATGGAAACAAGTAAGGAAACTGTATAGCAGCAACTGTGATATTGTTCCTCATATTTATTAATGGCGTATCTACACTCTAGTAGATCATAGTATTTGTCCAGAAGTGACACTTGGTCTGAGAGGAGATTGGGCATATTCAGTTGACTATTCAGCTTGCGGCTGACAAAGCACAGAAAGGATGCTCTCAGGAGAATTCTGCACTAAGTCATAATTTGCCACAAGCTAATGATGGATCCTCAGGCTGAACAAGCTCAATATCAACATCCACAACACTAAATAGATCCACAAAATTAAATCCAGAACACTACCACAGCATTCATCTTCTGACTGCCAACACATGGGGATTTGCTAATGACAATGGCTCCTTGGCAATTTGAGTATTATAATTCTTGCACCTGACCCCCTTCATTTAACTAATGTACACTGCATGAAGTAGGAGCACCATATGCAACTATAGATTTCTCAATATGCAGCAAATTAGTTTTGAATGAGCAGCTATAATGTAAGACTCGTGGTGCTACTGGAACCACGATGAGATACCAGTTCTCTCATATGAGATACATATTAAGGAGTCACTCATGTGTATAAACACCATAAACAGGAAAGGAAATGAAGCCTATCAGGGGCCTTGAAGGGCATATTATTTTTAAAACCAGTTTTAATCTTCAGGAAGCTGAATTGCATTTAAAATCTGCTTTATATTCCACCCTACAGGCATAGTTTGAAATTAGCTACCTAGCTTTTTATTACATCATCATCTACAATGTTTATTCCAACTCTTCACAGTTGGGTGGGTGCCTATAGCACATTAGTAGGAGAGATCCTCCATGTAAGGAAGGAATGGAGAAACCTTTTTGTTCCCATTATGACCTGGGTCCAGGACTTGCCTTTCATGAAAAGAAGGACTTTATTCACAGAGGCTCTCTGTATTGCTTTTCAGCTCACTCCATTCAGCAGGGTTCATAAACTTTTCCTCTAGCATTTTCTGGTGATTAAAAAGTTACATATACCAAACCCTGGATCTGTCACAATGCCCTGTGGAATCTGAGGAGGTAAATCTCGAAAGGCACGTGGCTCCAAATGACAGCTCTCTTGGAGAATACGATGATTTCTTAGCAGGCACAAATCATGACAACTCGGTGCTCTTGGGTTTATTTGGATTCTTGACCAGCTTAAGAAATATGCCTTATCATCTTTCCCTTTTGGCTTTTCCGATGCTGGGAAGTGGAGCAAAATGATCTGCATTAACACCTGGAAATGAATGCTGAAAGTAGCCAACTTCTCCTCTCTCTTTAAGATCAGCAGGAGGAAGAACTGTTTGCTCAATTGGATGTTGCTGAACCGCAACTTCCAACATCTCTAGCCAGCATAGGCAATGGTAAAGAATGCTGCAAATTACTGGGGAAGATGCATAATACTGCTCCTTGCTCTGAATAAAGACAGCAAATGCAACAGAAATAATTTGTCTTTGGATGCTGCTCCCCTTGTAATACTTTAATTTGGAGCACCTGTTATTGTCCCTATGTCACTAAGATTACCTCTGTAACCTCTATAACCTTATTAACTCTCAGATTCTGTATCTAGTCAAAATACTTTAGCTCACAACCTATCCTCTTCGTTTATATCTAATTAGATCTGAAAATGAAAATGTATCATTTCTTCCAACCTAATAGGTAGACATTTCTCTTAATGGAAATATGTGCCATCTTATTTTTTTTATACTTTAGTGTCAAGACTGATTGAATATGCCATAAAATCATTTTTATAGAATTTCATTTATTTTAGTTTTTTCTCTTATCCTTTCACTTGCTTCTAAGGTCTCAATTTTCTGTTTCTCATTTAATTTTTTGGGAGTACATTTGGGGTACATTCTATGTCTAGTGAAGAAAGCACTGCTGGAATGATACCAAAAAGAGGTAACACATTGGGGAGACATGGAAGTAGAATGTACCCCAAAAAATTGAATGATATTTACCGGTAGTTATTAAACCTGCATGCCACTCAGGCAGAGAAGAGAGATATTAGACTATATTAACCTGCAGAAGAACCAGCAAGCATTTCCTGCTGCTTCTTGAAAAATTTAATTAGCTTGACATAGACTATGAAAAGTGATTTCTAATATCATGGAGATAGGACAAGAACAAACTTGAGCTCAATTTCCTCAAAAATATATAAGAGGGGTTTTTTAAAATAAAAACTAGCTACTCCTGCTTGACTGACACTGAAAAAATAAAAATGTGTTAGACATATTATGTTTGTTTGTTATATTTTTATAAACTTTAAACTCTTAACAGGAAGAACCATAATGTGAACCAGCAACTACGCACAGCTCTCCATAGTCATCTGACAAAAGATAATCATCGTATAAAATCTGATAATTCAAGGTTTACCTAAAAAGCAATGTTGTTTTCCCTTTCAGTGTGATTAATCCAAAACGTTTCCATTTCTTTGTAAGTTTTTTCTTTCTTCTTTCCTCAAGGAGTTCAAAAGGAGTGTATATACAAGTAATGCAATTGCATCCTGATGATCATGACTTCCTTGTACTTAAATGCAAGGTACACAATACCTCAATGGCAATTATGTGATTTTAAAAAATCAAAATTATATTCAGGAACAATAATATCTGGAAACAAAGTTATAAGCTTCTTAATAAGATAATGGACAAACTAATTGGGCATTCCTCCCAGTATGGCCAAACACAAATTTACAAATTTATGGAAAGGCAAGTTAGACTTTTGCAGCAATCTTCTCCGCCTATAGTGGGAACTTGGGAGTGAGGTCAACAGAAAAGCGGGCAGTTTCAGCAAAACCTATGGCCCTCTAAAGCAATAGTACACTGCTGTATCACTGTGCTATTACAGTGCTCATTCATTAACATCTAGGTAAACTAGACAAGCTATTTAATCCATCATGGCTTTCACTTGATGGGAAGAGCTAGCTGCTGAGGACAGATTGCCAGTGATGAAGAAAACACTGCTGGAATGATACCAAAAAGAGGTAACAGATTGGGGAGACATGGAAGTAGAATCACCATCTCTTTTGTTGGTGGTTGAAAGTAACCGATGGATACAGAGGCACACAACAGTCTATGAGCGGGGCACTGCCTTTATTTAGAGCTGTGGTGTCTAGCCTTTAGTCCGCCAGGTGTTTTAGACTCCAGCTCCCAGCAGCACTGACCAGCTTGCCCAATTGTTAGGAATTCTGGGAGCCAATGCCAAAAACACCCAAAGGACCAAAGATTGGATTTAGAGTGTCTGTGTGGTGATCCTATTTACCATATTAACCTACTGGAGCAGCTCTGTATGATTGATGGAAAGCTCTAGGAGGCATAGTGGTCCTGTGTCTTCTGACACAGTTGACTTAAGAAAGTGGCCTTGTTCACTCCAGTTAAGTATAATAATAATAATAATAATAATAATAATAATAATAATAATACTTTATTTATATTCCACCCTCTCTCCCCGAGGGGACTCCTGTTAACCTGTGAGGCATCACAGTATTTAGTAACTATTGAAATGGTTGAATGAACCCATCAGGAGTTTTGCAGTTGGATGCCATCAATATGCTGATAGAACTCAACTATATTACTCCTTGCATTAGGAGTCAGGTGAAGCTATACAGGAGGTGAACACTGTAATAGGCTGAACAAGGGCCAATAAACTCACAATGAATCTTAATAAGATGAAAGCTTTGTGGGCTTGTTTCCACATTTGGGAATTCAGAGTGCATCTTGTCCTGGAGGGAAATATATTTGGAGTAGCTGTGTGAGCCATGCAGCAAAATATATTAAATTGGCAAGTCTTACCTATACAGCACTTCAATATTTTTCTACATGAAACAGTACAGGGACTTCTTAGGAAACTCAATTTCTCTATCTAAGAAAGAAGAAATTAACTTTGTATTGGACAGGAACATCTGGATCTAAAGATAAGTTGCTTTTCTATTAGTAATGAAAGTGAAATTTTGTCATCTGTCTTTTAGTATTCTTCATCCCTGGTCCTCACATGGCCAGTAAGGGGAGTGGTCTCTGTCTGCATTAAAATTCCTCAACCTATCATCTCAGACAGAATGTACGACTGTGACATAAACATCATCACCAAAGCATTAGTGCACTGCTTTCAACTGTTTCAAATCTATTTGATTTCAGGTGATCTTATAATAATTTTGAATTGCTGTTTTGAAGACTGTTTTCCACAATGAGATCTTTTGATATAGCATAAGAGATAAATATTTAATATTTATTAAATACAAATACAACTATGCAGAGAAATATTTTAATAAGTATCTTCTAGACTTTTTATTTATTTTGCTCTGCACTACTAGGAGGCTAACCTAGCACATAATGCAACTATGATCCCTAACCTCCCCTGCTTGAACAAGAGTGGTAAGAACTTATAAAAGAATGATGTATCTCATCCCACTCACGGTGTCATGGATCTGTTCTCCAAAATTTGTGCCAAGTTAAGTGGTACTATTATATTTTGGAAACTAAGAAGAATCGGGCCTGGTTGGTACCTCAGTGAGGAACTGCTAAAGAATACTGGGAGTTGTAGACTATATTTCAAAGGAAGTCAATGGCGAGTCACTTCTGAGTATTCCTAGCCAAAGAAAACCCCACAAAATTCATGCGTTCATTAATTCATGGGATCACCGTAAGTCAGATTGCAGAAACTTAAAAACACACATGTACAAACACACACAAAAATAAAACCACTAAGAACAATTCCTAAATAAGTAATTGGTTCTACTCTTTTACAATTAATTCTTCCCAAACCCAATGCAAAACGTTTGTTGTTGTTGTGTGCCTTGAAGTCATTTCTGACTTATGAAGACCTAAGGCAATTTCTTATAGGGTTTTGTGGGCCTATGAGTGTATGATCTGCCCAAGCAGGATCAAGCGGGGACTTGAACCTTCATCTCTAAAGTCATAATCCAATACTCAAACCATTACATTAAACTGGTTCGCAATTAAAGTCCTTACTACAAGTGAATATTAAAGCGTACAGGTTTCACGAGAAAGTGACGGACAACAGTTATTGATAGTTTATATTTGTACAATATACCATATATTTAAATATTAAAAATCCCTCATGCATTTAAAAATTACACTAATTGTTTAAAATTTTATTCTTGATGATCTTTGAACTCACTTGCTGGTTTCTTTGAAGTTTGATTCTCATTACTTCACATTGCTCAATCATTTGACGAAGTTCTGAACACGGAATGGTTATTTCAGAGGTAGTTCCTTCAGTGCTAAGAAAAGAGCTGGACACAACTATAACCTATTAATAGTGTTAAAGGTATTTAACAAAGAATTTTCATTCATATCTGTTTACATAGTCACACAGGACTCATTTCTGATAAACTTTTAAAATTTTAAAGATAATTACAGATTTATAATAATGTTTATTTGGCAAAACCGCTATTCAAAAACATTCCAAAGAGACATTTTTATGTCGCGGGAGTGGATAGCTAACACAATATACAGTAGATTATGAGTACATGTTTGCAAAATGTACTTTTAAGTTTCTCCTTGAGCCTTTGTGATAATGAAGAAAAGCATAACATTTGCTGAGCTTAGGGACACAGGATATTTAGGCATTGAATGTTTGCCTTTTTGTTTGTTGGAATCTGCCCTGAGTCCCCTTGGGTGATAGGATGGAATATAAATAAAGTCATCATCATCATCATCATCATTATTATTATACAGGAACTCTCCAAAAGTGAAAAAACGCATTCCCCCATTTTTTTTGACCTGAAGGAACACTTCTCTAGGAAACTCTAGGTCTTCTAGAGCAAGTATCTGGTCCGCTGGAAATTGGCCATAGAATCACACTGGAGGATGTCAAGATTCCTAGAGAGAACATTTTTATTAAATCTGTGAATTATAAAATGTAGAAAAGTGAAACCCACAAATGTGGAAGGCCAACTGTAGTTCATTTGTTTTTTTAGTGATATACATATTTGCCATAGCTATACTTATCCGGAAGCAAGAGGCAACATTTTGAGAAATATGAATATTAGCCAGAATGAAATTTTTTAATTTTTATGTTTTACAAGCTGTACCTGCCATGTGTTGCTGTGGCTAACCTTCCCTCCCTCTTTCTCTTCTTTCTTTCTCCCTTTCCTTCCCTCCTTCTTTCCTTCCTTCTTTCCTTCCTTCCTTCTTTCCTTCTCTTCTTCTTCCCTTCCTCCCCACCCCACCTTTTTTTCCCTTCGTCTTTCTCCCCTTTCTTCCTTCTCTACCTATTCTTGGACTGCACCTCCCAGCAGTCCTCCTATCTATCTATTTTGTTTATATTTATGATTTGGTTTTATGTATGTAAGGCATTTAATTTTGCCATTATTTTTTGTAAAATGCTTTGAGTCCCCCCAAGGGCAAGAAAAGTGGTATATAAATACAGTAAATAAATAAATAAGAGTATATAATCCTTAAACCTCTGCTCTTCCAGGAACAAAAAAGCTAAAAAACATAGAGAATGTTTTTGGAAAAGAAGTTAAAAGAAGTTTAAAATTGTAGTGTTCAGTGGTTTGGAACCTCTCAAACAGCCCAAATGTTTTGTATGTGGCTTATAGCCCAGGATTCCCACACCCTTGAAATAGAGGGAAATAGAAAGAAAAGAGATTTAACACGTAATTGTCACTTAAGTACTAAGAAAATTGTGGCCAAACATCTTTTACTTTATAAAACATTCTTATTGTAGCTGCAATCCAACATCCTCAGCCTAGAATAACAATCTGCATGCGTAGGTATGTTTCACTGGCACTGCACAATCCCCACACAGAATAGCAATATTGTGCAACAAGTGTCAATTAATGGGTGCCACTGTGCAATGAACAGTAATGACTGCACACTGCGTAACAGCAATGCAAAATATTGATATATGTGCAACTCTCTTCCACTACTGTCAGCAGAATACATCTCTTGTAGTATGGCAAATAATTTCCACAATTTACATAATACAACTTACGCATGAACATCTCACCAACAGAATACCAGCAAATGTGTGTATTGTATTGTATATGTAAGTTTAATTAAGAGAATGTGAGGTTTCTAAACCTCAAAACATTGAACACAACAAATGTTGATTGTACTGCTTCCATGCTATCTTAACTACTTGGAAGATGAACTGGCTTCACAGAGAACAGATCGGAGACTATATAGTTGAATTAAACAAGAATTTATTAACTAACAAGAATTGTAGACTTTTTTATCCTCCTGAGTCTCACTACAAAGTCTTTAAAGAGAGAGGTAGCCTTTGAGGAAGAGACACAGTTCTGGATGAACTGAGGCTGTTGAATCTTTATTTTTTCTTATTGTCTCTTTCTTGTATGATGTTATACTGTCTCTAAGATGGTCTCAATATTTAAATCTGACTGGACTTGAATACAACTCCTACTGGACATGCTATTTTGTAGACTTTCCAGCCTTCTCTCTCTTCACCTTCCAGTCACGAAAAAAGGGTGACTCTACCAAGAACCAGAAGTACCTTGCCAGAGGCTCCACCCCTGGGGGAATTCTTAAAGAGGCAAGGCAATGGAGGTTTCAAATGCAAGGATGCTGACCCCCCAGAAATTATACATAAAATATGAATCCCTCTAACTAAAAAGGGCTAAACTAGGGGTAAACAATGAGGGTCTTCATGGGCCACGACAGTGATCATCAGTTTATCCAGGTTGCCTGCTTTCATATCCCTTTCATTCAAGGGAAGATCAAGTATTTCTCCACTGCTTACCTAATCCTGTCACCAAGAGCTTCTAAAGAAGTGTTTAACTCCAATATAAGAGCAGCTCGAGAACTTAATCCTTCTGTAAGTAACACCACCTGTAGAAAAAAATCATAAATGGAACATTTTTTAAAAAATACCCAATTTTACCTCTTCTTAAATACTCTTTTATAAAAAGTGGAAGAAAATGTTGACATTAAACAGAGGCTTTGTGAATAAATATAAGGAATATCCCTAGCTAAATATATGTCCCTATTGCAACTCTTTTTGATTTTAAAATAATCCTCCATATTTTTCTTTCCACCTCATTGTTTTATATGGTCCTCTCCTTTAGTTTGGCCAACCCTATTCACCCAGTTTTCTAGGTATGCATAACAATGTATATATTTAATTTCTTAAAATATAGCTTAATGTCCTGGAAATTATGTGATTTTTGCCTAAAGCCACAAGTCTTTGTCTCATCTTTCTTCCTCTTGACAATGTCCAATAAACTAAGATATTCTGTCTTCCAGCCATCCCTAACTTGGGCTGCCAGAGTGAAAACTGAAGGGGAATTTCAGCAGATGTTGCTTATTTCCTGGTTGCATAACAAGCAACACCTGTTGGAATTCCCTCTTTTATAAAACCCTTAAAGGTACAAGAGCCTCTCTTCAATTTTTTACTCTGTCAACCCTATCACTGACAGTTCTTAACAAATGGCAGGGAAGGAATGAAGAACTGGGGAAATTCCCAAAGCCGCCTTCTCATTCGTTCATTAGGAGGCAGCTACCAAATCACTACAATACCTAGTCCTAACAATGTAAAGGTAAAGGTAAAGGTTTTCCCCTGACATTAAGTCCAGTCGTGTCCGACTCGGGGGTGTGGTGCCCATCTCCATTTCTAAGCTGAAGAGCCGGCGTTGTCCATAGACACCTCCAAGGTCATGTGGCTGGCATGACTGCATGGAGCGCTGTTACCTTCCTGCCGGAGCGGTACCTATTGATCTACTCACATTTGCATGTTTTCGAACTGCTAGGTTGGCAGAAGCTGGGGCTGACAGCGGAAGCTCACGCCACTCCCTGGGTTTGAACCTGCAACCTTTTGGTCAACAAGCTCAGCAGCTCAGTGCTTTATCCCACTGCGCCACCGGGGGCTCCTCTAACAATATATAGTACATCATATTTTAAAAAATTAAATTAACAACATCAGTATATGAACTCAACAAAGAGTCACAATGACCAAGCTCCAACATTGAAAATTGTAAATACAGGCAATGGAAAGTTTTGGAATCAGCAAAAGTCCCAAGAAAGCCAAGGGCTCTAACTACCTCCCCCTAACACCATGGAACAGAACCACTGACTAAATACATTCCTTCCCGCCTTCTTTATATAGGTTTTGTGGATTTCTACTTCGCTTCCATTTCCTATGCATTGTATCATATTTTAACATAAATTTAACAAGTGTGTGCATGCGTGTGGATTGCACCCCCAGATATTCAAACTAATAGCTCATTATATCTCACAGTGAATCACACACCACAAACTGAACCATCCACATAAGGGAAAAGAAAAAGGAGAGATGGGAAAGCTGAAATGAAGCACACAAAACCTCCAGGAATTTAAGTTTCAAACAGCTTCAGGAGTTTTAAACACATTTTTTTTAAAAAGATCTTTTCCCCATTCCCACATGTTGACAACTTTTGTAAAGTCTTTCACACAAAATTCTGCTCAGTTGTTTTGTGAATTGCTATATTACCTGCCTTTCGAGCTGCAGTACTTGAGCCTTTAGAAGATTAATACGTCTTTCATCAAAACATTCACTCTTCCCTTCTTCTATAAGCTTTTCATAACGGCTCCTAGGAAAGAAAATTCCCTTTTTTATAAAGAATGTCAAATCTTCACAGAAGGTTATATCGATCTTCAATAGCTACAATTTATTGGAACTATTAAAAGAGATATTCAAAGTAGAAAGATTTTTTTTCTTTCTCCTTTGAAACCGATCACTCAAAACCCTTGTTATTTTCCTAGAAAATACTTCTAATGTATTTTACTGTGCTACAAACAAACTTGCATAGCTTGAATGTTTCTTGCTGGTTTCTCACAATTTTCTTGTGAGGAGCAATTGGAAACCACTCATGCTTTACTATTCCTCAAAACATTTGGGAAGAAAAATAAGTAGTTTTATGGAAGTTTCAAACAGATTTCTAACATTATCAGCTTGTGCAGTAACTGAAGAATATGTTTTCCTTCTGTATGCTTTTCTCTGAATCCTCTATATCACATGGGTGGGTCAAGTGCCAGGGCCATTTTTATTATCCTCCAGGGATTAAAATAGTGCCAAAAATGATATCTTTTGATATACCTGACCACTCTCAGAGACCTTGGTGCTCTTCTTGACCAATAATACCCAACACATAATTATTCTAACTGAACACAAACTTTATTTGTGCATTGTTCATATCCTGAGCCTGTTGTTTGTATTATATAGAAACTTAATAGCTTCTATAGAATACAGAGTATGGTGGAAGCTCTTTCTTTGGATACTTTTAAATAGAGGTTAGATGGCCATCTGTCAGGGGTACTTTGATGGTGCTTTTCCTGCATGGCAGGAGGTTGGACTGGATGGCCCTCTTTTGACTCTAGGATTCTATTATTCTAGTATTTTTAATAGAAATAAAATTACATCTTGGGAGGTGAAGGGCATTTCTACCACCTTTGGAGCCCCCCTGTGGTCCAAACTTTTGCAAAAAAATGTTTTTGGCCTCACAACGACCTCAAACCTGGACATTCCAAAAACATTTTGAGAAAGCCTCCAGGGCTATTTGAGGGCATTTAGTGAAAACAAGCTTATGTACCCAGCTGTGCCCAAGCTGGCATTGTGTAATGGTATTGATTAGTAAAACAATAGTTAGTTTTATGATTGTAGGGGTGGTAGTGGCCACACCTGACTGATATAGGTCTCCATAACAATCTTCTAGTGGCCCCTTGGGGTTGCAGCTGGGCCTTTCCCATTCATTTCTAAGTTGTTGTTTAAATCACTTGATTGTCTCACATGTAGGCAGTAATTGCACTGCATTTGCTTTTAGAGTGACTTGTCTTAGGGTTTTCGTTAAGGCATTCCACAGTCACCTGATTTGGTTAAATAAGCAAACTTATTTACCACAAAAAAACAACAACAAAGCAGCAGTGTCTTTGTCCCTCAGGTCCTGACCACATCCTGGATATATAGGCTCCACTGCCCTCTTGCATTTGGTTCTGGTCCACTGCAACTCCCATCAGCCCTGGATCTGGCTGACTGTAACTCGTGCCTGTCCTCCTAAACAATCAGACAGCTCAGCCTTCTTGGTCTGCAACTCACCTTATCCCCACCATGCTTAGGAAAAGGGAAAAGATGTTGGGATATGCATTCTGGAAACTAGGCTGGGCCAGCTGACTGGTTTGGAGGAGAACTGTGCTTTCTCCAAACCAGTCAGGAAATCACGGGGCTCTGGATGTGGGTGGACTATTATTCTCTGCCTTGGCTCCTAAGACAGTTGGGGTATGAAGAGCACAAGTACCAAGTATGGTGGAATTAACACAACACTGCCTGGATGTTGGTGGATTACACCTCCCATCATCCTTTGTCATTCTTCCCAAAACTCTGCCAGCATTTCAAGTTGGCTGTGATTTCTATTTGTTCCAATTTGGTCCAGATCATCCATGGCTATGATGCAGGTCTCCAGATATGGGTGGACTGCAATTCCCATCAACCTGTTATTTCCTCCACCCATGGTCATGATAGGCATGCGAGACACGTTTGGGCCAGATCCATCATCAATGGGATTCACACCAATGATAGCCCCAAAAATTGATGGAATACAATCACCCCTACCAGTAGTTTAAGTTGGACTGTGAAAAGCATGTGTGCCAGGTTTGGTCCAGGTCCATCAGGCTATATAGAACCCTTCGTGGTTCAAGTATACATGTAAATAAGCATATAAAAATACACATTTTTATATAGAGAGAAGATAGAGAGAGCTGGAACGTGTGGCCGGCCAAGATCTCCAGGGAGAATAATGCAGACCCCTAGCTTTCCGCAATTGCCTACCCCATTATGTCACACTTTTTATCATAGAGAGATATCAGATTTAAGAGTTCACAGAGACAGCAAAACTATGCCTTTGTAGTGTTTTAAATCTAGAAACAGTACCTTAAATCTTCTAATTCGTACTTTAGTCTTACATTTTCTTCCTGCAGTTTCTAAAAATAAAACCCACCAATAATAGAATTAAATATATTGTTAGAACATATAAGTAACAATCTTAATTATTAGCTACACAAACAGTGCTCCAACATATACATGCCTTTTTAATAATCTAACAAAGCTGTAATAGTGCAAAATACTATAAAATACAGTATATATGGCAGGTGCTGACCATGGAACTGCACTGGTGTATCTAGAGATTCCTAGAGAAAACATTTTAATCAAATCTGTGAATAATCAAATCTGCAACAGTCAAACTTGCAAATATGAAGTGCCAACTATTTTTTTATCAGAGGAAGTTTATTTTATTTTATTTACTTCCTTTTTATCCTGCATTTCTTCCAATATAGGGACTCAAGCCTGACTAAAGTGAATCACAAAGTCTTACTGGAGAACCAAGGGATTCCTAGAAAGGTGGTCTCTCAGATAAAAAAGAGTTTTTTATTCAGTTTTTCGCTTTTGCAGAAATCCTCTGACCCTAACCCCAGAAAATGTGGAGGGCTAATTATATAAGTTAAAAAAGAACAAATAATAAATTACGCGCGTAATACATATGCTAAAGACATCCAGGTTCAATCCAGTTTCTATATAAAATATTGTATGCATAAAAGGAGGCAGAATTCATTGGATAAGTAGATACATTTTTAGAATGAATCCATAGGACTAATCATTTGAAATATTTCATTGGCAAGTCCTTTCTATGCATGCTCCATACATTTGCAATACTAGAATACTAATACATTTTGAAGTATTAAGTAGGAATATCAATCCATATATCCAACCTGATAATATTTTTATTATTGTAATACTAAGGATAAGCTGGATCCAGACAAACCAAACCTTTTCACCTTTTGGTCATTTTTGTTCATAAAAGAAGTTTGAAGTTCATTGGCCTGTTTATCTTCTCGAATCACTGAATTATCTTGACATGTTGAATCCCGAAAGAGATGACTACCTGCAGAATGCTTGGATAAGGGCTTTCCAACCTAGAAAAACAAAACCAGGACCATCACTGTTTAAAAAGAACAACAACAACAACAACAACAACAACAACGGGGAGTATGCTGACACAAGCATCTAGAAATGAAAGATCTTAGTAGATAACAAATTGGCAAGCGAAAAGTAATGAATCTGTCTCCATTTTGGTATTCCTAGACTTTCAATTAATTCCCTTCCATTTCTGAGAGTTAAAAGGAAGGATTATAAAGGAATTGTCAGCTGATAGTGTTTTTCTTTTTCCTTCTCTACAAGACAATTCCAAAAGGATTAATTCTACAAATCAGTTTGTAAGCAAAAATATGCATGCCAATTACTCTATAGGCATATAATAAAATGTCCTGCTTAGACAAAAAAAGCTAAACACTTGTAAGCATTCATCTAGAGCAGCAATCACTGAAGAAGCACCAAAACTTTAAAAATGAGCAGAAACATAATAAAGGAAAATACCACCAAATCCAAAATACACACCACACCGATGCCTTCATTAGGCCGATCAAAACATATCCACAGAATTCTCCTTTAGCAGCAAATTTCAAATGAGTTATCTTCCTATCAGTTTTCTTTATTGTCCAGCCTTCAGAGTCCTAGTCTCCTTCAGATTTCTTCACCGTAGTTTCTGTTTTGATGGCTGAGCCAAAATATACGAAATCTTGAACTAGCTCAATGTCTTGTCTACTTTAAAGTTATGGAAATCATCTGTGGTCATTATTTTTGTTTTCTTAATTGTTCAACTGTAAACCAACCTCTGCACTTTCTTCCTTGACTTTCTTCAGTAATGATTCCAAAACTTTTTTCTGCTAGTAATATGGTGTCATCAGTATATACTGCATTATGCTGTTGATGTTACTTTCTTCAGTTTTCATGCCTGTTTCCTCTGAGTCTAATCCTGCTTTACATATGATTTGTTCAGCATACAAGTTAAACTGTATACAAGGCTTAACTTGTATACTGCAATAAAAAACAATTTTCCTTGACCACACTGTCAACTGAAAGTCATTTTTGTCCAAGGGTTCACTATAATCTATGCACCACAAAATGATTGTCTTCTGAAATTCTTTTGTGTGTCCCATTATCTAACATATATTTATAATATGATCTGTAGAGCCTCTTCCTCTCTTGAACCCAGCTTGGATATCTGACATTTCTCACTCCATTTATGGTAAAAGTCTTTTTTGTAGAATTTTGCTCATAGCCTGCTTGTTTAGGAAATTAATATAATATTCCTTTGGGTACTATAAACCTTGGTATCCCTTTCTTGAGGACTAGAATGTATATTGAGCATTTCCACTTTGTGGACCAGTTTTGTCCTCCATTTTTGTTGTTAGTTTTTAATTAGGAATTGAGTGGGTGTTGTTGCTTGAAACAGCAGTATTGGTTTGCTGTTACTAGTGATTTGTTTCTCCCAAGTGCTTTGAGTGCAACTTCAACCTTACTTTCTTAAAATATGGGTTCATCTTTAAAAGCTTAGTGAATCTGACACCCTTTCAGATCTTTTAAAATGAAGACTGTACTGAAAAATCCCAGTGTACCATTTTCTCTAACAATATTAATCTAAATGCGATTCCATTATTCTGCTGAGTAGAGTAATTCTTACTGTATGACTTACATATTTTCTGTATTTCTGGGTGTTGCATAATCGTTGATATGACACAGAAACAATGAGCAGTTGTCAAATTCTTGATAAAAGAAGGATGTACCACTGCCAACATCTACTTTTTGGAGGGTCGATTTTTTGTGCAGGAACAATTTTGACTTATGCATGAGTATATACAATAGCAATAACAAGGATTTCTGAATACACATTTTAAATCTACTACCCAAAGCCAAGGAAGGATGTGCTTGATAAGAACCAAGACATACTAAAGAACATCTCCAATATATGAAGGATTTCCAACATAAAACCCAAATATATGCCCGCAACAGCAACCCCAGACCATTTCTCAAACCAAGCAATATAGCCACTTCACTATCTATTTGCCACATTTTATCATTTAGTTCAAATCAATGTTATATTTGATCAATCTCCTATATGCATAGAGTATTTCAAGAATCTGAAAATAACACAGAATTTGGATGAGGATGGGAAACACTTGTGGTTTTGGTAACCAGTGCAGCAGGCCCAACAGTTAATTTTCATGATATTGCCTACATTTTATAAAGGGTTGCACAAGCTTCCCTTAGCAGAAGCCAAGCAGGTAGTTTTCCGCTGAGGTTTGCATCTATTGTACATTTATGAAAGTGAACACAAATGCCATTGATCCCAGTAGGAAGGCTTGCAGGCATGACACATTCAGTGCGAAACAAAGGTCTCTAATTAGTGAAGAGTTCCGGTCTGACAGAAAAAGGCCTTAACCTTCTGCTGGGAATAATGAGCTAGGCGATGTCTGAAGCACCCAAGTAAGCTTCTGAGAACAAGAATGGCACTGAGAACTGCTTTAAATGTGCTAAAATGACAGACACCAGTGACCGAACAGTGAACCGTAGACTTGGCGAGGAGCAGAAAAATGCCTGTTATAGGAAGGGGTGCCGGGTCTTTTGTTCCCTCTTGTGTGCCTGAACTCAGGACTGTAGCAGATAGGCTACATTATTTGGTAGAGTTATTCAAAACAACACTGCAGAGTTTACTGGACTACAGATATTGTCTGAAATCTTTGTCTTGTGAGCAGTGTTTATAATAGGCAAGCTTGTGGCAATTTTCCTGAACATCATAATGAACTGAATCTTTAACACTTACAAAAAAGCTCATTAGTGAAGACAAGACTTTAATAGTAGGGTACCAAAAGAAGCCATTTAAATGACAGGTTATTAAAATTGTTACCAAACAAAAGGTGAAAGCTGCTTATTATTTTTACTATCCCACAAATTGTTGGCCAAATACATCAAAACATTTAAGTGTTTTCCCATATTAAGAGCTAAAAGGAAATTAGAAGTGGAAAAAAGCAAGCATTTAACAATCAACAAGCCACACTAGTGTGCACATTGAAAGTAATGTGGCTCAAGTTTCTTCCAAATTAAAAGCAAAATGTCAACCTCAAAGCTGGGAAAAAGCAATCATCAACAGGGGTTATTCTGTTTCTGCTTTTGTTTTTAAGTTCATGAGCAAACACAATGCCACGTGATGATTTAACCTTCAAATACTCAACTGTTGGCACAATAGCCAAGTCTTAATTGACAAAATGGAAATCCAATAGAATTTTGCTAACAGTGCTATCAGCAGAGTAGCCTTTGCACTGAAATATTACAATGAGAACACAGAAAAGGGGGAAAACACTGATTTTTCTTTCTCAGTTAAACATACTTCATTGGTACTATTTTTTAGGATCACGCAATGTCTTCACCTTGGAGGTGATAGTTTGCACATACGAGTGCAACACATATAATATTCATTTAACTTTACTGAAAAAGCAAGGAGGGCAAAGTCATTAATACCATCTCACTGAAAAGATATTATAATTGAGTTTGGAAAATCTGAGATGCCGCAAAACATAAGACAGTTTTTTGACTAAAGAGGTTCCCTTGAGCTCCTTCATTCCTTGAAGAAATTTGAGGTCAAATTGTACAGTGCCTCTCCTTCATAACCCCATGAATTTCACCTCCCCATAAGAGCCACCCATTCAGCAGCTGGTGAAGGGCAGCTGGTCCTACACATCTACATCTCTTCCTGCTTCATCCAGAGAATAAAACAGTGTCACCAAGATCGATGCAAGTAGAGAAGGGAGTGTTTTGTGCCCAACAAGCACAAACCTCATTGAACTGCATAATATGGGTCTAAACAGATTATATAATGCAGTTCAAACTGCATTATATGGCAGTATAGATCCAGCCTAGGTCTACCTCACCAGGTGGCTCCCAGTATGTTAAAGAAGTCTAGCTCTTAGTTTGGCCACCTTACTGGAAACCATAAGAAAAATAGAAGCTGATGAAAGAAAAAAAATATTCCTGGATATAGTCTGAAAGAAGCCTTCAAGTATCCAGGAAGTTCAAAATGGGTGTCTTTTTGCTTACATTTCTTTAACCACAATCTAGAAGGTTCAAAATGACTATTTGTTGATGCTAGGTCCATGTAACATTTACATATTGTTAGTTTCTGCAAAAAAAGGTTTGTTGAAACATGTTCAGTTGTACTCAGAGTAGCAGTCTGTGGACCTGTGCTGGTCCATGACCTGTCAAGTTGCTGGTCTGTGGTAAGTTTCCTAGGGAAGGAAAGAGCATTTATATGATTCTCATTCCTATTATACTGATCTAGATGAGCCCAGGAGACCAGAATATGTGCAGTGCACAATTGGGCACTTATGTAATAAAGGTCTGTAATAAAATTGTTGACACTTAATGGTAAGAGTTTCATAGTCTCCATGTGCATGGTCAAGGACAATTGCATTGAAATCAAAGATTGAAGGTGGTTGTAATGTTGAAAAGTAGGTAAATAAATCAACCATTGAAAGCAGTAGCATATTAACCACAGAAAAGAAACATTTCTCTTGCCATTCACTATGAACAAAGGCTTTATGTAAACAAGAATCTGGTGTATCTGTCAGTTTTTTCCCCTCCTGATCAATCCCTTTTGTTCTTGGGCCACATTTTTAAGGTTAGAAATCTGTGATTAAAAGCTGTTTCACAGATTTGTAATATTTGTAGGCCATTCTGAGAGGAAAACAAAATTTTCTGGATATAACAGGAAAGAAACCATTAATAAAGAAATGTCCAATACTTATCCTTTATTAGTTTTGGTTGTTTTTTTTTTAAAGTTAATTTCTGGAGGGCTAGCAACGCCGGTATGTTGTAACAGTAGGAACTGAAAATTGCATTATGATCCACTGAAGCTTATGCCATAGTTTATTTACTGTTAAATTAGATTCATTATCTTTTTAAGGTGATACAAAGCACTTTGTACTATACTAAACTGAGAGTATTGTGACCTTGCTAGTCCAGGTGAAATTAGTATGCTGAGAAAGTGATGAGAATGTATTGTCGAAGGCTTTCATGGCTG